CTCCAATCCAGAACCACTGCAAATTATTGTTTGTAATGTCAAGTCTTGTTTTCTCCCAGTAATGACTATTTTTGTATGTCTGCGTGTATGCTCACACACTCAACGGTCATTCAAAGTTGTATAGCAAATTTCCAAGTTTCCACGGCGGCTTGATAAACAAACTGGCATGTAATGGTTGCTTGGCAATTAGAAATGCAGAGGAGAGAAGGAGAGATGAGGAGGAGGAGGACGCACTAGAGAACATACAAATCGAAAACTGCAATTATCGAAGACGGGAACATGTGGCCTCTAAACGACACAGAACGCTGTTGTTCGCGGGACCTTTCTGCATCTTCCACTGTGCTAGAAAGAGGCACTGGAATGCCACCAAAACCACAAAGACACACAATAAATTTAGGAAAGCAAGCGCGCGCGCGCACACACACACAGATACGTACATACACATTCATGTTGGTGATAGTTTTCCACTTGAGCCCAAGCTACATTAAACAAGGAAATAAGATGGAGAAGGGAACGCTGGACAACCACGACTGGAGACGACATTACTATTACTTGAGCACAGAACAAGCATTACTACGTCAGCCCAGAACTGTGTCTTTAGTAAACGGTAGAAATCAATCTCTAAAGATGTAGGCATTTTTTTTATAAGGGGGAAATCAGTCGCTGAAGACGTGGCGCACCTACAAATAGTTGGCATTTTACGGGGAAAAGAACAATTAAGAACAGAGGTTCTGGAGACGCCAGAAATGCAAACAGGTACTGAAAATAATAAAATGGAACAAATGAAATAATACTTCAGCTACATACAAAAAAAAAAAAAAACCTACTGGATGGAAAGTGTGAAAGCCAGAGAGCAAGGGATAGACAGTGATACACATGAAAGACAGCATAAAGACTGATCAAACAGCAGTCTCGCGACCTGCATGAGAGTGTTGGAGATTCATACAGCCAACCTTCACTATGGAGAATGCGTAGACTGAATAGTTATACTTACCTTGTTTCTAATTCCGTGTGCACCCTGAATGAATTATCTTTTTTTCATATTATATGTAAACTCTGAATGAATTGTTATCTTTTTTGTTTCCAATTACATGTAACCCTAAATGAATTGCTACCTTTTTGTTTCCAATTATGTGTAATCTCTGAATGAATTGTTATCTTATTTTCATAATAAATGTACACCCTGAATGAATTGTTATCTTTTTGTTTCATATTATATGTACACCCTGAATGAATTGTTATCTTTTTGTTTCCAATTATTTGTACACCCTGAATGAACTGTTATCTTTTTGTTTCCAATTATATGTACACCCTGAATAAATTGTTATCTTTTTGTTTTTGGCCACATTTTATGGCGGCCAAAAACAGGGCCTCAGTCACATGTCAATTGCGGACATCCGGCGACTTAATTTGCGCACTTCCGGTGTGGATTGGGGCTAAACTAGATAGCTGGGACTCATGAGCAGCAGATTCCGCATCTCATGCAGCTTTGCTGGTGAATCCCTGCCATCTAGTCATATTTCCGTTTGTAATTCCACGGAGACCCTTACTGAACTGTTAACTTTCGTTTCCTATTAAGTATACTATGCTTTACATGCCGCTCATGAAAAAATTAATGTGTCAGTTTGTTGAGGGCCTATGCTCCATTGGGGGAATGGAAGGTAGAAGGAGAAGAATTACATGTACACTCTCACTGAACAGTTCTCTTTCTGTGTCTAATTCTGAGTATGTTATGTGCCCCTCTTCCTAGCTGTCTCCATTCAGCAGCCATGACACCCTGGCGCCAGGTCGGAACGACACTGTGAGTCAACTACTCTAAGCATGACGCTGAAGTGAATACCAAGAAAACCGCTAGTTTGTGTGTCTAATTCCGAGTACAGCAAGACTGAATTGTTATACTGTTGCTTCTGATTCTGAGCACAGCTCTTGTCCTAGTCATCAAGCCATCAAAGTCGGTGCTATGTCGGAATGACATTGATGACGCAGATACTCCAAACACAGTGCTAATGTGGCTGCACGGAATTCACGGTCCAAAGCGGGATGGCAAAATCAAACAGAATTAGTCGGGGCGATCGATGGAAGATAGTGTTTGTCTGTTGATCAACTCATCGGGCGCATCAACTGAATTCAATGGAAATGGTGGAGGCACGCCGATGTAACAAGCACACGGCAAATAAACAAACAGTCCTGGGAACACGCTGAAGAGTGTTTGCCTTACCCGAGTCGACAGGACTGTTGGTAGTGCTAGGACAAGTCAACGGTTATTTCAGGACTTGGGGACATGTACCAGGTTATCGGCACCTATGACGACACATGTAACATAGGAACACGGGCACTGATTGGCTGTCATAGATAGCCGCGGAAAACACGCATTTCATTCATTAATTGACTGGGCAAGATGGAGTGATGGCATTAAGAACAACCTTACAAAAATGAACATCAGTCTTAATAGTGCTCTTGACAGAGCTCATCAACGAACATTACCCCCCCCCCCCCCCCCCCCCCCCCCCTTCCACCGACACTTCGATGAGGTACAAGGTGGAAGAGAAGAAGAAGAAGAAGAAGAAGATTGACTGGGCACGGACTAGCTGTTATAGAAAAGTAAGGACACTTCTGTATCTGATGCATCAACTGACTAGGGACTGATTGGCAGTCTTGGGAAATATGAAATTGGTTTCATTTATCAACTAATTGGATATTGGCTGACAGTCGTGTGGAAATAAGGAAAATTTTTATTTCATTTCCTAATTGACTAGGCACTGATTAGCAGTCACAGCAAAGTGTGGACAAGATGTATTTCATGCATTAATAGAAAGGTTTACCGATTCAATGGCATGATCGATTTTTACTGAGTGATCTGAAAATTGATCTCACTGTTTTCTTGATCTGGTTGATTATCTCACTGGCTGCTCTGGTTGATCTGAGTGACCTATAGATTTTTACAACCAGGTATATTAATTCTTTGTTCCAATGCCCAGAGTAGATGTATGACTGAGTGACTGATTTGTTGATTTAGTTGAATGGCTGTTTCATATGTTTAACTGACTGACTGATCGACTGATTTCTGGTTGGTCGGCTGAGTGGTTGATCAAATGAACGACTGACTGTTACTAGCGGTGATGTGATTGCCCTGTCGATTTGTTTGAATTTGTATGGTTGATTTCATCTGTCGACTTGTATGTTTGATTTATTGATTCATTTCTCTGGATGACTTAATACAGCCGATATATGGGGCTGATTAGGGGATCTCAAAGACTGGTGGACGCTAAAGATTAATCAAACACAGAGAAAAGACAAAGCTACAGAGTGGAGACAACAAATAGCAACAGCTACAGAGTGGAGACAACAAACAGGAACAGTTACAGAGTGAAGACAACACAAAGCAACTGAGTGGAGACAACAAACAGCAACACTTACAGAGTGGAGACAACATACAGCAACAGCTACAGAGTGGAGACAACAAAGAGGAACAGCTACAGAGTGGAGACAACAAACAGCAACAACTACAGAGTGGAGACAACAAACAGCAACAGTTACAGAGTGGAGACAACAAACAGCAACAGTTACAGAGTGGAGACAACAAACAGCAACAGTTACAGATTGGAGACAACAAACAGCAACAGTTACAGAGGGAGACAACAAACAGCAACAGTTACAGAGTGGAGACAACAAACAGCAACAGTTACAGAGTGGAGACAACAGAAACAGCTACAGAGTGGAGACAACAAACAGCTACAGCTACAGAGTTGAGACAACAAACAGCTACAGCGTGGAGACAACAAACAGCTACAGTGTTGAGACAACAAACAGCTACAGAGTGGAGACAACAAACAGAAACAGCTACAGAGTGGGGACAACAAACAGCAACAGCTACAGTGTTGAGACAACAAACAGCTACAGAGTGGAGACAACAAACAGCAACAGCTACAGAGTTGAGACAACAAACAGCAACAGAGTGGAGACAACAAACAGCTACAGTGTTGAGACAACAAACAGCTACAGTGTTGAGACAACAAACAGCTACAGTGTTGAGACAACAAACAGCTACAGTGTTGAGACAACAAACAGCTACAGAGTGGAGACAACAAACAGCTACAGAGTGGAGACAACAAACAGCTACAGAGTGGAGACAACAAACAGAAACAGCTACAGTGTTAAGACAACAAACAGCTACAGAGTGGAGACAACAAACAGCTACAGAGTGGAGTCAACAAACAGCTACAGAGTGGAGACAACAAACAGCTACAGAGTGGAGACAACAAACAGCTACAGAGTGGAGACAACAAACAGCAACAGCTACAGTGTTGAGACAACAAACAGCTACAGAGTGGAGACAACAAACAGCAACAGCTACAGTGTTGAGACAACAAACAGCAACAGAGTGGAGACAACAAACAGCAACAGAGTGGAGACAACAAACAGCAACAGAGTTGAGACAACAAACAGCAACAGAGTTGAGACAACAAACAGTTACAGTGTTGAGACAACAAACAGCTACAGTGTTGAGACAACAAACAGCTACAGAGTGGAGACAACAAACAGCTACAGAGTGGAGACAACAAACAGCTACAGAGTGGAGACAACAAACAGAAACAGCTACAGAATGGAGACAACAAACAGCAACAGCTACAGTGTTGAGACAAACAAACTACAGTTGATACAACAAACATCTACAGTGGAGACAACAAACACAGCAACAGCAGAGTGGAGACAACAAACAGCAACAGCTACAGTGTTGAGACAACAAACAGCTACAGAGTGGAGACAACAAACAGCAACAGCTACAGTGTTGAGACAACAAACAGCTACTAGAGTGGAGACAACAACCAGCAATAGCTACAGTGTTAAGACAACAAACAGCTATAGTTACACAGTGGAGACAACAAACAGCAACAGCTACACAGTGGAGACAACAAACAGCAACAGTTACAGAGTGGAGACAACAAACAGCAACAGCTACACAGTGAAGACAACAACCAGCAACAGCTACAAGACCCTACCTTCTTGTCACCGTTGCTAAGACAACGCAGGTACAGCCAGACCAGGGTGGCAACAAACTGCAAGGAGAACAGCTTCAGTTTGACCTCCTTGGATCTGTAGAACTCGTAGAGCTGGTGGCACACAGGGTCCAGCTCCTGTGAACAGCAGATCAAACATGAGACCTCAAACGTGATGCACTGATTTCAAACAATAATGAGCAACTACTATTTTGGACAGATTTTTTGGGTGCTCCAATCTCCCCCAAGCGTAAAACGACTGATTATGTCCGTTTTGTTTTAATTAATCAGACAGATGTCTTCTGCCCTTAGTGAAATGTTCCTGTCTGACTGTTCCAGGCTTCACTCCCATCTCCACTAACCCGGTCAGGGATACTGAGCCATGCCTGGCGTTGTTTGTACCTTGCGTGGCAATGACATCACCAGAAAGAGCAGATAGCAATGCTTAACGGACTACAACAAGTAGAGAACAGCCCTGCGTGGCGGCTAGACGCCCGTGACGGGTTCACAGCAAAAAGGAGTCCAAGGGTTTTTAATCTCCTTCTTCTTCTTTTTCTTGGCGGTCACCAGCTGTAAACTCCGGCCGAAAGTTCTGGTTCTTCTTCCACTTCTGGTCTTTAGTCTTTTTGCAAAAACTGACAGTTGCGTGCGCATCCCTTTTACATGTCTAGCTTATTTGCATGCAGATTCCTTGCCTCTCAGGCAGAGGCACTCTGACTGCGAAAGAAGGCACTCCGACTGCGAAAGAATTCCCCCCCCCCCCCTTTTTTTACCCCCTTTGTTTTCAAATTAGTCAACTCATACAACGTGCTTTTCAGCTAAATGGGCCCCGGAACCCACTACGGTAATTTTTTTTTTTTTTAATAACCATGATTCCCAGAGTTCCAGCAGTGGACGAAACACCAGAACTTTCCGCCAGATAAAAGCGAAGAAAAATGGTAACAAAAATTAAAAATATTCAAAAAGCTGATAAGTGCTTTTTCAACGTTTCTTGTAGGGGTCGGGGGGGGGGGGCACAGCTCCCTATAATTTGTATGTGGGTTTAAGTGGACTAAGACTCTAGGTTCTGGCGCCCCTGACTAAGCCCAGTGGCGGGGCCCATGACAACAAAGAAGCACATATACTGCTGTAAGCTAACACCAGATCAACATAACCCACAAGTATAAGCGCAATAGCCTCTTACCTGTCTCAAACACAAGTGAGAATGCATAGTGCGGAGATACTAACAGACTACGAAGAGAATAACGCAGTCAGACGTGACCTGGGGATCTTGCCGACGCTCGACGTTCACAGCAGGGATCCTACGAGAATAATCAGACTGGCATGATCGGAGCTGGAGCTACGGCGCTTGTTGCTGAAGATGGTGAGAGGCGCTAATGGGAATGTCCCGAGAGTTATGATGTCCACCACTCTCAACTCATAATGCATAACTAATGCTATAAAGTAATACCTGCAAAACTCAGGCTATAATGTGATACCAGCCTAACCCAGGATATAATGTGATACCTGCATAACTCAGGCTATAATGTGATACCAGCATAACCCAGGATATAATGTGATACCTGCATAACTCAGGCTATAATGTGATACCTGCTAACAAAGGTAATATGCAGTGGTCTGAATTTCACAATTTCAGGGTTAATAAACAATTACCACAGGGGTGCCGGAACGCAAGCGAGGGGTAAGGGGGAGCGCTCAAGTACTTTGCGCCTCCCCCTTTAGAAAATTTGTAAAAAGGGCTAAGCTACTCCTCCCCTCCCCAACGATGCACTGAAGTACTTTTTAAAGTATCTATTTATGCATTTCTTAATAATTCCAGTATTAAAAAATAAAGTAATATTTTTTTGCCATTTAACGCAAAATAATAAGAAGAATAAGAGTTGTCTTTGTATATAATTAAGCATTTAAACAAGGTTTAGATTCTTTGGTTTGATACCTCATAGAAAATCTGTAAGGGGGTTGAGACTTCCGCCCCTTCCCCCACCCCCTCCACCCCGCAATCCACCTCAGAGGACCGCCTCCCCAACACAATATTTCTGTGGGTCGGCGCCCAGCAATTACGACCACGTCGGAAGCAATGTTACAAATATGTCACAGCGCTACTACTAAAATATCCACGACCGCGCACAAGTGACGCATATGGACTTCCGTACTGTCATCAGTCACGTGCCGCTAACAAGCGATGTGACTGGTCAAACAGAGGGTTGGTGAGGAGAAACGCTCAAACACTCAACACCAGCAAATGTTGCTTGCACGTGTGAGCACAGACTCCGTTACCCGTCAACCATGTTTAAACAGCCATTATGAGAGGAGAAGACAATCAGACATTGTGGGCAAGACAAGCAAAATCTGCGCTGCGGCGAGTCTATAAACGCTTAGAGGTGTTTGCCGCGCTCGTTACGTCATTCTGGGGGCAAGGTATAGTTACCGTTACAAAGTGGGATTGGGGGGGGGGGCATTACAGGGTAAAGGTACTACTATTACACAGTACAGACAGTACCATTACAGGGTAGAGGTGGTCCCATAACAACGTACAGGTAATCCGATTACAAGGTAGACGTTATCCCATTACAAGGTAGAGATAATCCCATAACAACGTACAAGGTACGGGGTGTCCCATTACAAAGTAGAGGTATTC